ATATATATACATATATATATATATATATATATATATATATATATATATATATATATATATATATATATATATATGAATGAAGAAAACACTCTACCGTGTTGATACTATGGTAGAAAAACCCACAATGTAAAAACTAGTTTTTACATTGTGGGTTTTTCTACCATATATATATATATATATATATATATATATATATATATATATATATATATATATATATATATATATATATATATGTATGTATATATATATATATATATATATATATATATATATATATATATATATATATATATATATATATATATATATATATATATGCCGCGATAGCTCAGTGGTTAGAGCACTGGACTCCGACCCTCGTGGTCCCGGGTTCAATTCCCCGTCGCGGCGGTCGTAAAAATGCCTGCTTCTGACTGCTTGCTCGAGCCCGAGAAAACGACATATCGGCTTGAGAAGTCAAACGCAGGTGTCGTAGGGGAAGTCACCGCCGTGGCACAAGTGTTAAGATCCCTCAGTCTGTATATTCTTAAAAGTTAGAATCATATATCACATCCTAACTGGCCTCTTGCAAATAATGAAAATATAATCTCTTTCTCGTACAATCAAAGGAAAACACGAAGGAGGCGTCCAGTGAGGCCGGGCGCTGACTGCTGGTTAGACAAGCAAAGACAAGGGAGAGTTTGGCGGCAAGACTTGATGGTTTACTTTGTGGACCTGATGATGGTGCCCAGGGTGTTGTTCTAATACATGCCCTTTCCAATAGGCTTCTTCAAAAGCTCCCTAAAGGGTTCCATCAATAGTACCACCAGCAGGAAGGGGACTACCTGGATCACAAGGCCAAACCATGACCTTGTGTCAGTCAGTGACGGGCAGGATGGCGTAGCGAAGTCTGCGATGCTACTGACGAAGTCGTTACTCGGTTGGTACTCCTGCAAGCCAAGTAAGTACCCTGCAAATATGACCTGCAGAAGTTGAGCTTATCGGGCCTCAGCATCACCTCACTGTTTACACACCTCTAAAAAGTTGTACGTGTGCCAGAAGGCCTCTGCCATGCTGAAATCATATTGGAGTCATCAACGCACTTTAATTTCCAGGGGATGTCAGTTATGATATCATCCAAACGCTTAATGAAAGTGTCCTGTGCTGCACAGTGACTGATAGGAGTCCTACGGTAGCGTAACCATCCCCAGGGTGTGATGAAAGTTGTTATCTTGTAGCTATTCTTCATCTAAGGTAATCTAGTGGTACACAGAGAAGCGTCTGCAACTGCTTTGTGTGTGTGCTTTGGTTTCCCGTCCTTCTTGGGCACCACCACCATTCAGGCACACAACTTTGTTGTATCACCAGCAGGCACCTCTTCAATTATGCCGCTGCTGATGTCGATATGGCGCCGCATTCGTGGTGAACATTCCATTGTGAACACTGTATGCCCAAAAGGTTCCAACAAAAACTCCCTCTGTGATGATTGGGTTGTGTTTGTCCCCACTGTCACCCGGCACGGTAGGCTCCCCAGGATCTTCAAACTTCTTCCAGCAACGTGGGTGACTATCTTGGGCAACAGAGGTCACCCTGCAATACTCACTTGAGCTCCCGTGTCTGCCATGGCGCCTGGGAGGAAGGGGCAGATGATGTGCAGGGACAGGTGTGCAGAGGCCTCCACGCTTCCTATGATCACAGTGTTGGGCGAGTACGGGTTGCCTCTCGGGATAAGTGTGCAGCACAAGCGCCTGAAGTGCCCTTTCTGCCTACAGTTGTGACACAGCATCACGAGCGGTTGTTGTTACCGCAGCCACTGTCTCCACAGTTTTAGTATCGCCTCGGGTCCTGTTTCGGTGTGGGGTGCTATTTGCATAAGGGTATGGTCTGTTAGGGATAAGGATGGGGGGGGGCTGCTCCTCCAGAGTGGCCACACTGCTCGGTGCACGCCATCCTTCCACCTCAATTATTTCACACGGGCTAACTACGTCACTCATAGACTTGAGACGGGGGAAGCACTTTATCAGCTCTGCTTTCATGCCATATTCACTCAGTCCCATAATTACTTATCTGCATAACATATACTCAGTCAATAACCTATTGCATTTAGGCCACCGAAAACTGTACTCTCCAGCCATGGCACGACACTTCGCACCAGGGACCGATCACTACGTTTCTCACTATGCTGACTGCTGCTGACGTTGAGAGCTTTTAAAATTTTGCCTGTAGATGTGGGCGTCGTTACGCTGCCGGACATCGCTGCTGCAAAGAAGTCTCACATAGGAAGCGGCGAGGGGGGGGTCCCGTACGCAGATGAGGCCGTAATCCTCCACGCTGACAGCCCATACCTCGAACGCTGCTGGGGACATGCTATGCCTGAGGTTGCTGACCCTAGTCCTGACGGGGTGGGGGGACTGCCCTAGATCAGGTCTGCTTAACAGCCCGGAAAAACATGTACCGATACATGATACTTGCAACTTCCATAATGACTAACAAAGATGGAAAGGTACAAAGAAATATATGTTGCGATTCAGACACACAACGTCTCGCGAAACGTCAGTTCAACCGTTCACTTTGACCAAGTAAATGCAGGAATATGTTTTCTTCTTCGTGGTTATTCCACCTCCTTCATTTATCCCAAGATATTTACACGCATCCTCTTTGTACTATTCATCATGTTGTCAACTTACTATACCATGATGGAATGTGCCTTTATCATATTTGTCAAGTCCGAGATTCATTTTTACATCATCACTTAATATTTTCACTACATTTGTTAGCGTTTCCAATTGCCTAGTATGTTTAGCGTCATCCATATAGAGCAGACGCTTAATCCTTGTTCCTTTTAGTTGGTAACTCTTTTCTTGTTTGTAACATAGCTAATAGCGGGCTAATAATAAGCAAAACTGACAGCGGTGATAGAGAATCTCCTTGAAATATGCCACGAGTTATTTTTTTATAGTTCTTGTTTCTCATTTCCCATTCCTCTCCTTAAAAAATTGCACTACTGTTTTATTTATTTAGCATAATTCAATATACTTAATTATCCACGTGTGACCTTCTGATAAACCTGACAATTCTTCTTCCTAATTTTACATTCTCCAAGTACTGATCTATTTAGTGTACGTTGATCCTTGCACCCATAGCTTCGTCTCTATCATTAAAATTAAATATTCATATACTCTTCTCGTTGTTACTGCTGTCCTTAGACTGTGCATTGTTGACAGGCATTTTAAAAGGAGCAGGGGTAGGAAGATTACGTGGATGAGTAGTCTTAAGGGTTGGTTAACAGAGAAAGGTGTTCAGTATCCTGAAGTGCGGTTATTGCAGATGGCGAAAGACTGAGAAGCGTGGCATGCCATGATCGCCAACGTCTTAGGATATGGCACCTAAAGAGAGAGAATTCTTCAGTTTTCCTTTTAATTCTCCTTCTGGCATTAAATATGTCACAAAGTCTTGCAAGATCTCCATACAGAAATGTTTCATTTTCAATTATTTATCATTGTTATTATCATTTCCAATATTATCATTGTTACTGTTATGATTATCAACGTCAGTGTTTTTATAATTTTCATTATAATTACCCTTATCATTTTATGATTATTATCACTATTACTACCATCCTTTTATTAGTGAAAGTAGTAGTAGTACTTATTACTGCTATTATTACTGCTGTGGTTAATATCCTTTAAGTTATTAATGTTAGGAGTGTTATCATCCTCATTATCATTATTACCATTATTATTGTTGTGTTGTTTATATCATTGCTATCATCGTTGCCATAATTATTCTTTTAGTTATCATTATTTTTATTGCTGTTGTTGTTGTTGTTGTTTTGTTATTAACATTATTAATATTATTGTCATTAATATTATTATCATTACTGTTATCATTATCATTATTATTACTCCCAGTGCCGTCATCATTACTGTTATTATTATATGATCATCATTGTTAATATCACCATGATTATTATTAGTATTATAATTATCATAATTACCATTGTTTCTTGTAGCTGTTGTAGCTACTGTTACTGTTGTTCCCATTATCATTATCACTTGTAGTAATAGTATACATCCACTTTTCATTATTATTATATATATGATTACTATCGTTAGTACTTGAATCATTGCTTTTGTTTCTGTTACCATTAGGATATTCATTATTGTTCTATTGTTTATTGATTTTTTGTTTTATTATCATCCTTATCATTATCAAAATTTCCGTACGGGTGTGTGTGTGTGTGTGTGTGTGTGTGTGTGTGTGTGTGTGTGTGTGTGTGTGTGTGTGTGTGTGTGTGTGTGTGTGTATGTGTGTGTGTGTGTGTGTGTGTGAGCGAGCGCGCGCTTCGTGAGTGAAGCGATCTCTATACGTGGTAGAAACAGTGTTGACAAAACAGGATATGTTTATCTGCTTCGCTGAATAGAAACATGTCCCACATATCCAGCATATGATTCAACAAATTCGTTCCATCATCAACTATTAATTAATGCCCTATCACACGAGCACTTTTTTCCGTATTTTTCTTTTTCTTTTTTTGGTTATTCCGCATGAAATTGAGGCTTTCTGCGGGTTTCGCATGCATGAGGAACGCTTCCCAGACCAAGACGACGTATTAACTGTTTCCATCTAATTTCCGTCTTGATCTTATGCTACGGAGGATCTATAGATATTTTTATAAATCAAATAGAATGCGCATTCCAGAATATGCATCTATATATAATATACATAAGTATATTTCTTTAAAATAATGTTTGTTTACATGGGCACCATATCTTTGCTACCTTATAGTGTGAAAGGTTCAGTCCATTTACATTAGGAAATGAAAAAAAAATACGGAAAAGTGCTAATGTGATTAGGAAAAAACGTGTATCATTGCCATTTTTATTAACGTTGACATTGTCAGGCATATCGTGAAACGTTTTCAATGGGCAGGTTGGCTATGAAAACGCGCCTATTTCCTATAGTGTCAATTTCATTTTAACTCAAAAACACATTTACATGTGTGTGTGTGTGTAATG